CCATTCATAGTTACTCCTTGTCCCACCATCTAGTTACCCATATTCCACCATCCACAGTTAACCATTGTCCCACCATCCACAGTTATCCATTGTTCCACCATTCAGTTAACGACTGTCCAACCATCCGCAGTTACCAATCGTCCCACCACCCACACTTACCCATTATCGCACTATCCAGTTACCCATTGTCCCACCATCAATAGTTACCCTTTGTCCCACCCTCCATAGTTGCCCATTGTCCCATCATCTACAGTTACTGGTTGTCCAACTATTCATAGTTACTCATTGTAACAACATCCAATGTTTGAGACAAGACTTTGACAGTCAATAATAAGTATGTCAATTTGAGTAAGTTGATGCTTCCTGTACATCTAGCAGGACTACCAGTCAGTTATCTCCCTTGGATTGAATTGATTGGCCAATCAGTGCCAAGAGATGAGAGTGAGTGTGTGATATGGGTTTATCACTGATTAAACTGTATTGCAGTTACTCAAGGGAGTGCCAGTGTTAATGCTGGAGGACAACCCTGTCACAGGGCCCACAATGAACAGGTCCTGCCTTGATCAGGTCACACAGCACTGGGGGCGGTCAGGTAGCCTTGTGGTTAAAGCGTTCGCTCGTCACGCCGAAGACCCGGGTTCGATTCCCGACATGGGTACAATGCGTGAAGCCCATTTCTGGTGTCCCCCGCCGTGATATTGCTGGAATATTGCTTAAAGCGACGTAAAACCATACTCACTCACTCACTCACTCACACAGCACTGCATCGGTATCTCCATTCAATTGGACATCTGTCCTTAAAGATTTTACCATGATATGAGATGGCTGATGTATATTATTAAAAAAAAGTTAAGGATCACAAGATTTGTTCATATTACTTTTGTTAATCTGCCATGCCTTGCCATGCCAGATTAACGATGGTTATATGAAAGAATCGGGGGATCCATGATTGTTGTTGTTGTTTATTTCATGTTTCCACGAACCTAACTGTTTTGTGTACTATTTGTTGTTTTGCATGTTTTGCTATTACATTCAGAAACATATAACAGTATTCCAGTAATCATGTTGTGCAAAAATAGTTTAATCAAACATTCATGTTCAGTGAATATATACATTGATATGTAAACCTGGTGAGATTGTAGATACTGTTCTTGTTAGAAACAGGAGATATTCCTTGATGAAATGGGGGTTACGGGAGGCCCAGTCATCTAAGGCGCCACAATTCACTGTGCAGAGTTGCATCCCTTGGGCACGCCAGAAACCTATGATTGTGGGTTCGAATCCCGGTTCGCCCCGATTATGTGTCTAGGTTTGTCAGCACCATACCCGTGCTCGTGGGTTTCACCAAAGTGGTAAACGTCTGAGACGTGCATCACTTCGGGCTTTCCTCCAACATGAAGCTGACACGCCGTGATGTAACTGGAATACTTTGCAAAGCGGCGTTAAATCCAACTCACTCACTCACTCCTTGATGAATTAGTGGGATAAAGAGTTAGCTCTTTTTGAAATAGATCTTTGAAGTGTTACACATTTCCATACACAATACTAATGAGTAAGTGACGAGAATGTCTCACAATCTCTGAAACATATTATTTTTCCTTCTGCCCAGCCCTAACTGTAACGCAAAAGGTCATAATGAAGCAAGTCTAGATTTTCCTCAAGTTCTGAATCTCCTCTCTTACTGGGGCTCCTTTTCAATTTGAAGAGTTACAGAGTTAATTCCAAACAAGACACAATCCCCATAAAGTGCCGTCATAATGATTGGAACCTGCCACATTTTCAATGGATGCACGCTGGATTTGTTGTGGCCTGCTTGATTCACTGTGTTTGGTTCCAGTGGAAATGTGGCGGGTTTTAATCTTTATGATGCACACTTTATGAGGATTGTGTCTTGTTTGTAATTTGTGTGGCTGTTTCTATTTAACGTGTGTACATATTGCATAGTTTGATTGCTCTCTGCTGGTTTTCATTGGTAGGCCTGATTGTTCCCTGAGCAATGACGGGTGCTCTGGCTACATCCACATTACTTACTGGCTGTAGAGTGAGTGAGTTGGATTTAACATCACTTTTAACATTATTACAGTTATGTCATGGCGTGTCAGCTTAATGTGGGAGGAAAGCCCGAAGTGATGCAGGTCTCAGACGTTTACCACTTTAGTGAAACCCATGAACACGGGTATGGTGCTGACAAACCTAGAAACATAATTGGGGCGAACTGGGATTCGAACCCACAATCCTAGCGAATCGCGACGCCTTAGACGACTGGGCCACCTGTGCCCCAATATAGATGGAATATAGATGGAACATTCACTCAACCACCCTGGATCTGTCAATGGAACTGTGTGTGCAAATCTAACCAAGAAATGCTTCCAAAATGAATTAAAGCTACAACATAACTGAGCTGTATGAGTGAGTGAGTACCAATGTGGGGAACCGAACCCAGGTCTTTGGCGTGACGAGTGAACGCTTGAACCACTGGGCTACCCCAACGCACCGAGCTGTATTATGGAAGACAAAACATATTTGAGATTATTTTTTCAATAATAAAGCATCCAAAGCCTCACATTTCAAAATCAACTTCACTTTACAAGTCCACATTGTAGTGGAAACGTATTATGTAAATGTCACATTTAAAAATTTAAAAAAATTGTCATGTACAGGAACATTAATTATCACCAGTCACATTTTCACCATTTGCCCTGATAATGATGGATAGTTCTGTGCAATGGATTCCTTAAAGTGTTGATAGCGTGATGTAGGACATTTTCAACAGATGACATATTTGTAATGTCAAACGCTATGAGCAGTAACCAAATTCTGTGGCAACGCAATTGTGGAAATGCCCCCTCAACACCTGTGAAGGTTATTCCAATGCCAAACATGGGTTCAGGCTGAAACTGCACGTTAACTGAATCCTTTGATTCAGACTTTGGACCACACAAAGGTAGCCAGACTGTGACTGACAAATGACAGTGTTGCCAAAGGCAATGTTTTATATGTATGGATTTGACCAACCACAGACAAAAGCCACGATCCGAAAATAAAAGAATTTGTTTTGATTTATTTTTATTTGCCTTACTGATCCTTCTTTGATTGATCATAAAAATAAATTAAAACTTGAGAAATTATACATAATTAAAGGAAGGATAAATTTTAAAAATAATGATTGGTCAATGCATCACATGTAGTCTTTGGCCACCTAAATAATGCAATAACTAGAACAAAGCCTCATCATCAGTAAATACACATATAATTAAAGCTACTGTAGAAAAACTAAACATCCTGCATTTTAGACAGTATTAGTATTAATAATTCTCACTACACAGACTGCTCCAAACAACTTCATGCTTAATAAATATTGAGCTAACAAATTTATGTTTATTTTATATTGACCGACCCAAATTAATATGGTTAGCAAAAATCTGAAACCATATACCGTATTCGACGTAATATTTAGCGCCCCGCTCTAATAAGCGGCCACGGCGGTATTTGCTAATATATTGGCTAGTGAATAATCCCATTAGCACCCCTTCCGATTGATCAATGTTCACAAGACTTATTTATTCGCGTACAATACACAATCGTGTGTTATATGCACCCTTAATTATGTGCAATTAAATTCTAGAAAAATATATCTGTCATACATAAACATTTCAGGCTGTCAGCATAAACCACGAAATTTATCTTTCAACTCTGTTTTTTTCACCAAAATAATTTTCTAATAAGAGCCCCCTATTTCTAATTTTGAGAGCGTCCTGGGCGCATATTATGTCGAATATGGTAATAAAAACATGTAGCCTAACCACCGTTCAAGGACCATTTTGGCACACACCCCTTCCACACAACAGTTCTAGTAGCAAGTTTGGCTGGAGAAGTTTACACATAACATATGGCAAAAAGCAAATAAACATTTCAGATAAGATGAGTTGGTAGGTTGGGAAATTTTTATCAAACTTAACAGAGTTCCTTGACTACTTGCTATGGATGTGAAACTAAGAACAATGAATTCAGTGAAATCTTATGTTTGTTAACCACAAACAGTCTTTATTTTGCTTGCCTAAACACGATGAAAATATAGTAGCGTCAAGCAGCCCTACCTTAATCTCTAATCCAGGGTTGATGAGGTAAAAAATGCCTGTATATCCTGAGGGACAAGTCTCAATGTGAGACATGCTATAAATGACAGAACCTGGACACCCAAGAGGGTGCCTGGTAAACTGTTGTATCTTCATGCAGACAGCCGAGTACTGGAAATCTTGAAATTAACGCGAGCGTGAATTAAATGCGAAAAACGCGAGTTATTTCTTTGCATTAATGATCAACAATCAGACGGCTTCAATGCACATTTTGGATAGCGGAAATACCAAACAGGGTTTATTGAGCAGCAGTTGTAACAAGTATATAACAATGTTATTAAAAGGATAGGAATTACACAATAGGCATCTGGTGAGTTATCACTGTTACCCATTCATATGAAACTAGGCATCATGGACCACTCCAATCGGTGAACTGCTGTTGCTTCATTTAGTTTATTGCCTTTGAACTTCCTTAATGCGAGTCAACAGAATAAACATATAAATTGTGTGTTGTGTTAAGGAGAACACTGTTTGTAATTACAGAAGTGCTTTACTTTGTGCTTATAAGCAGTACTATTTGCTGTTTGATTGGATTAAGGTAAAGATATGTATCATTCCACTGAGGATGGGGTGGGGGGAGTCGCATGGATCTTGAGTCGCATTCTTGGCTAGGGATCAGCAGTCGTATTAATTTGGAGACGCAATAATTTCAAGATATACAGTATATCACACTTGCTGTGTGGTACCTACAGAAGTAACTTATCATAACGGTTGTGTGGTACCTGTAGAAACAACTTATCACAAGAACTGTAAATAATGCAAAACTTGATAATAATCAAGCTTCAAAACATTTGACGTGACGTAAAAAAAAAATATATGTATGAAATTGTGAAAATTGGAAATAATATAGAAAATATCTACAAATCTCTGAAACCATTTTATTTTTTCATTTGTATGTAGTATATACACCTTTTATCTCCTCAAATGTACATGTTATATGTATTTACAACACATCGGTTGCCAGGGATACCAGCTAAATAGAAATCTGTACTTCACAAAAGTCCTGAGTTAATTCCTGTATAATGGCACTTTTTATGGTATCTCAGTTATATGATGGCAGCTTAATATGGAGGAAAGCCCTTGGGTCATAGAAATGCAACTTTTACCACTCTGGCAAAACCTACAACAGGTATAGTTGCTTTTGTTGGCAATATGCTGGTTGTAAAGAATCCACTCTGGGCCAGACAATCCAGTGATTGATACTGTGAACAACCAATCTATGCCACTGGGAAACGATGACATAACATCAACCAAGTCACCGAGCCTGACCATCCAATCTACCTCATTGCCTCTTACAACCAACACAGGTTGCTAAGGGCCTATTTTAAGCTGTAGGTTAAGCCAAAAATATTGATAATTGAGATGGTCAGGCTAAAAGCATCGTCCATAGTCTACAGACATTTTGGCCAATAAATCCACATTTTAGTTGCCTCCCTTCTATACAAACATGAGATATTGAAACCCTTTCCAACATAAAAATTCAACACTGATCACAAAATAACACACACAATATTTTTTCAGCTGATATCCCTAGCAAATAATGTGTAGCATATTTCTGGCACCAAAACACTACCATGCTTTGTCATTATTATAAAGGAGAAAGTCCCTGAAGTCTCGCCACTTATTGCTGTCATCATACAGGTATGTCATGGACGATTTCAAAGATGGCTGGAGAGTGTCTCTCTCATGCTCAAACAACCACAGTACTATTCCCCACACAACTGCAGCAAAAATGGGGAAGGGATCCTTCTTAGGCGGGGGGATGTAGCCTCGCTTCACTCCTAGCTTCATCAGGCCGTACAGAATTCTGGACAGCAGGTAGAGGTTGATCTGCAAGGAGAAGAAACACTGTGTAGGTTACATAGGGTTATGAATAACCGTTGAACAGTATTTTAGCTACAGTGAATGGGTATGGTTTGACAAACCTAATATTGTTTGTTTGTTTGTTTGTTGTTTAATCCCCCTACTTTGATATTCGTACTATATGACAGTGGTCTGTAAATAATAAAGTCTGAACATCGAATCGTACGCAACTGTGAAATGATGATCTGCATCAGCCAAGTCAGCGAGCCTGACCACCTGATCCTGTAAGTTGCCTCTTACAACAAGCATAGGTTGCTGAAGACCAATTCTAATGACCAGATCTTCACTGGGCACAGCTTAAAGTAATATTCCAGCAAAAATATGGGAAACTGGGAACTGCATTCACTGCACCCTGTAGGGAATAGAACGAGGACATTTCTGTGTCTAGGAAACACTTAAATCACGAGGCTCACCCAATGCTCCTATTTCAGTTATTTCACAGCGTGTCAGCTAACTGATGGAGTAAGACCTGAATGACACAGGTTATAGATGAAACACAAATTGAGACCACTGGATCTTGGCAACATTGTACCCAAAGCCCCTGTTTCAGTTATTTCACGGCTATCACCTTATTGTGGGAGGAAAGCCCTAAGAGACAGATATCAGAAGTGAAACCCAAATTGAGACCACTGGATCTTGGCAACATTGTACCCAATGCCCCTGTTTCAGTTATTTCACAGCGTGTCACCTAATTGTGGGAGGAAAGACCTAAGAGACAGATATCATAGATGAAACCCAAATTGAGACCACTGGATCTTGTCAACATTGTACCCAATGCCCCTGTTTCAGTTATTTCACAGCGTGTCACCTAATTGTGGGAGGAAAGACCTAAGAGACAGATATCATAGATGAAACCCAAATTGAGACCACTGGATCTTGGCAACATTGTACCCAAAGCCCCTGTTTCAGTTATTTCACGGCTATCACCTTATTGTGGGAGGAAAGCCCTAAGAGACAGATATCAGAAGTGAAACCCAAATTGAGACCACTGGATCTTGGCAACATTGTACCCAATGCCCCTGTTTCAGTTATTTCACAGCGTGTCACCTAATTGTGGGAGGAAAGACCTAAGAGACAGATATCACAGATGAAACCCAAATTGAGACCACTGGATCTTGGCAACAATGTACCCAATGCCCCTGTTCCAGTTATTTCACAGCGTGTCACCTAATTGTTGGAGGAAAGCCCTAAGAGACAGATATCAGAAGTGAAACCCAAATTGAGACCACTGGATCTTGGCAACATTGTACCCAATGCCCCTGTTTCAGTTATTTCACAGCGTGTCACCTAATTGTGGGAGGAAAGCCCTAAGTGACAGATATCACAGATGAAACCCAAATTGAGACCACTTGATCTTGGCAACATTGTACCCAATGCCCCTGTTTCAGTTATTTCACAGCGTGTCACCTAATTGTGGGAGGAAAGCCCTAAGTGACAGATATCATAGATGAAACCCAAATTGAGACCACTGGATCTCGGCAACATTGTACCCAATGCACCTGTTTCAGTTATTTCACAGCGTGTCACCTAATTGTGGGAGGAAAGCCCTAAGTGACAGATATCATAGATGAAACCCAAACTGAGACCACTTGATCTTGGCAACAAAGGACCATCTGTACCCAATGCCCCTATTTCAGTTATTTTACAGCGTGTCACCTAATTGTGGGAGGAAAGACCTTAGAGACAGATATCAAAGATGAAACCCAAATTGAGACCACTGGATCTTGGCAACATTGTACCCAATGCCCCTGTTTCAGTTATTTCACAGCGTGTCACCTAATTGTGGGAGGAAAGCCCTAAGTGACAGATATCATAGATGAAACCCAAATTGAGACCACTGGATCTTGGCAACAAAGGACCATCTGTACCCAATGCCCCTATTTCAGTTATTTCACAGCGTGTCACCTAATTGTGGGAGGAAAGCCCTAAGTGACAGATATCACAGATGAAACCCAAACTGAGACCACTGGATCTTGGCAACATTGTACCCAATGCCCCTGTTTCAGTTATTTCACAGCGTGTCACCTAATTGTGGGAGGAAAGACCTAAGAGACAGATATCACAGATGAAACCCAAATTGAGACCACTGGATCTTGGCAACATTGTACCCAATGCCCCTGTTTCAGTTATTTCACAGCGTGTCACCTAATTGTGGGAGGAAAGCCCTAAGAGACAGATATTATAGATGAAACCCAAATTGAGACCACTGGATGTTGGCAACATTGTACCCAATGCCCCTGTTTCAGTTATTTCACAGCGTGTCACCTAATTGTGGGAGGAAAGACCTAAGAGACAGATATCACAGATGAAACCCAAATTGAGACCACTGGATCTTGGCAACATTGTACCCAATGCCCCTGTTTCAGTTATTTCACAGCGTGTCACCTAATTGTGGGAGGAAAGCCCTAAGAGACAGATATTATAGATGAAACCCAAATTGAGACCACTGGATCTTGGCAACAAAGGACCATCTGTACCCAATGCCCCTGTTTCAGTTATTTCACAGCGTGTCACCTAATTGTGGGAGGAAAGACCTAAGAGACAGATATCACAGATGAAACCCAAATTGAGACTACTGGATTCTGGTACCAATGGACCATCGGTGCCTCAAGAAGGAGAAAAGGTAATGACAGAGTGACTCAGGGTGTAATACAGCCTTATTAATATCCAGTCATATCATGGCATGTCACCTTAATGAGAGATTAAGGCCCTCATAGACTTGCATGGGCAGTATGAGATATATTTAAATATTTGTTTCAGGGTCTGTAGGGGCACGGGTGGCCCTGTTGTCTAAGGCGCCGCGATTCACTGTACAGAGTTGCGTCCCTTGGGCATGCCAGAAACCTTAGAATAATTGTGGCTTCGAATCCCGGTTCGCTCCAATTATGTTTCTAGGTTTGTCAGCACCATACCCGTGCTCGTGGGTTTCACCAAAGTGGTAAACGTCTAAGACCTGCACCACTTCGGGCTTTCCTCCCACATCAAGCTCCCATGCCGCGATGTAACTGGAATACTGTTAAAAGCGGCGTTAAACCCAACTCACTCACTCTGGGTCTGTATGACAGACTAAACTGCAAGGTGAATGAACCCTTACACAGAATAGTGCAATACCCTACAGACTCACTGACATACCACCTGTGACAACCTACAGGAGTATGAACCCCTCTAGTCTAGATTTGTGCATATCGTCCAACTCCTGAGTTGATAATACGTCACTGACGGGAGGCAAAGAAATCCATTACATCAACAGTTTAGACACTGGAACAAACATCAACTGCCAAGACGGAAGTTCCAATAGAAATCAAGAAAGCAGTTTGGCAAAGCTTAGCACGAGTGTAAATTTCAAGTGAAGCTTTATCCCAAAGCAAGGTCTTCAAGTCTCAACAACCCTGCCCGTTATGACGCAAACATGGTCCATTCAATTTTTCAATCTTTCATCCGCTGTAAACAATTTATGTTTGAGCTGCAGGTTGGCTGTCTGTGTGCCCTGTAGTTCCTTGTGTATTGGGTAGTTTCATCTTTGTACTATTGAGATAAATAGGCTGGATACTGATTGAAAATTTGAATTATTCAACATCTAATTCAACAGCTTATAATTAACTTGAGAGAGGCCCAAAAGAAGGGAAATATTTCCTGACTTCACTAAAATATGATATCAAGGTAGAAGGTGCAAGTCAAGGCTGGGTATGGCATTTTAACCCGCTTTTATAATAATGTCTAAATCAGTCTCTACCATGGCAGCCATATTGAAAATTGGATTTAAATGTCTTGAACAAATTGAGTGTCATACTTGGTGGGAACATCATTTTGTGGGAGCATGGTCCAATCTAATATTCTGCTGCTGACATAAAATATGATTACTTTTCCTCCCCACCTCATATTGACCTATTTCAAAAGATTACTAAAAAAATAAAAACCCTTCTCACAAATATATTGACTTTGTCCATTCCAGGTGAGATGATAGGTCTCCAGCAACCTATGCTTGTCATGCTGAGTTTATTACATGTATCTCAATTGCACCAGATTGTCTAGTACAGATTGGATTATTTACACAATGATGTCATATTGCTGGAATATTGGAGAGTGGAGCATTAAAAAACAATAAACAAAACAATAAAAAACAATAAACAAAACAAAACAAAGAAAACTGCATATTTCCAAAAGGGCATCGCTCCTCCTACACATCAAGTCTTGTACATGCTGGAGGATTTAAAGTTTGTTCCTGAGTGTACAAAACTCTCTGTCCCATAAACCATTGCAAAAGCAACAAAAGGTAAAATTAATCTACGTTCTCTAGCTGAAGGACTTATAAACTATCCCATCTTGCATCCATACTAAAACATTTAGACAGCTTGCACAGGACAAACAAATCACAAGGAAAGATAACAATTTTAATTACCATTTGAACAACTTCTTCTAACCAGATTGAAAATCACCTTACCACCAACTCGGCACATAACAGCTTCTCTTGCCTTTGTTCTATAATTTCAGTTTAGTCTACAGCACAAATGAAATTTAGACTTCGTCTCAATTGGCCCCTGTTTGCATTTAGGGGCTAATGGTGGGAATTTCTAAGCTATACAAGTACCCTGAGGCATATCCCAACTGCTGGCTTGAAGACACTTCTGTTGTCTTTGAACTCAACAAAGTTTACGTAAGGAGAAAGCGGATAGCTGTAAAAAGTTGCCACTCAGGGAAGTAGTGGGCTTCCTCGAGTACATGTATAATGGCTTTCCAGTGGTTCCACCAGCTTGCTAACAATCATTTCACACTTGTGGCCGACACACTGCTGCCAAAACGCATGCTTGTACTCGGTAAACCTCGATCTTGTGAAGTCGGTAAGATATAACAAGCAGCCACATTGAGGATTCCTCCTAAAGGTCAATGGTTATTAATCATTCTGACAGAGTCTTCATGAGAATGAAATGATAATATCGGAATGTTTTTGCAACATTGCAGTCTTCGAT